GCAAAGAGACGGAGTGGCTCAGAGCCAGTCCTGGCTATAGGTATCTAGGTTGTAATGACATTAAGACACTGATCATTAAAAAAAAAGAAACCTTTAAACATCATAAAGGGGACACCTGCAGCTCTGTGTGTGCCTGGCCATGGAAGGTACCTTCCAATGCCTCACTAGTGAATAAGAACTTCTGTGCACAGTCATCTGATTTGCCAAAATGGAGAGAATTTGGAAGCCTCTGCTATCAGTAGGCTACTCTGCCCTGAAGTTCTAGCATAGTTTGCTGGTGAAGCTGCTGTATGACACATTCCTTCCCAGCGACCGCAGAAAGGTTAAAGCACAGGCACCAGTCTCGGTAGGAACCAGAGACCGAAACCCTGGACTATCTAGCGCTAAGGCCAGGATTCAAGGGAAGCTGTTTGCCAAAGGGCTGTATCACTTACTTGCTTTGCGCTGCTTGCCTGGCAGCCTGGGAAAGCCGGCGGGGAAGGAGAGCGGCGAGGAGAGCCCCGGAGAAAGTTGCGTGCTGCAGTGCCTTTTGATCACAATGACATTGTTCGGGATCTCTGGCAGCTCAAACTGCACAGCTCAGCAGAGTCCCTCAGTGCCGCAACACAGCCTGCAGGAGCGCCGCAGCTCAGCATGTGCTGGGACTTTTAAAGGGGAATGCCACCTCGTGGGGAGAGTGCTAGTGCGTGCATGCGCGTGGGGGAAAGGTAGCCTGAGATTCATCATGCTCAGGACATCCAGGGCAAAGGGCTGGGAGGGCGAAGGGTGTGGGACCCACCCCCGCTTCCCCAGGCCAGAGATAAGGAGTGATGTGGGGAGCCGAAGGCAGGGGAACCAAGTGCCGTTTCCAAGCGTGTGAATTTCAGGCTTGTTCCAGTTTTAGAAGGGCTACAAAAATTGCAAGCAAATGATTCCTCTCCGGGTTTGCAATGTGAGGGCTTGAGCCTACCCTGATCTTTCCCTTTACTAGCTGGGGTTTCACACTTTTCTTCTCATGACCCACTATTGATGCTACCACCCAACACAATTTGACTAGAGTGTGGGCTCCAGGGCGGGGCTGAGGAGGAGCGTTGGGGTATAAGAGGAAGCTCTGGCTTGGGGAGAGGGGGGCAGGTCTGAGGCAGGAGGGGCTTACCTTGAGTGGCTGCTGGTGAGTGGTGCAGCAGGGGTGCTAAGGCAGGTTTCCTACCTCTGCTGGCACCGCAGACCATGCTGCGCCCCAGAAGCAGCCAGCAGCAGGTTCGCAGCCAGTGGGAGTGCGGAGTTAATGTTCGGAGTAGGGCCCATGCATAGAGCCCTGTATTCTTCCCCTCCATACACACACCAAGCAGCCGGGCCTGTTGCCGGCAGCTTCTGGGGCTCTGCACAGTCTGCAGTGCCAGGACAGGCATTAGCACCCCCACTGGTCACCTGATCCCCCTGCAGCAAGGTGACCCGGTGCCTGACATTCCACCACCTAGTACTAGGTCGTGACCCGTAGTATGAAAACCACTGGTATAGATCACGGAGTCAGTGCACAGAGAGTCTCATGGGAGACGTTTTGTAGGTAGACAGGACATAGTAGGAGATATACAATAGAGGCAGTCCAGCACTGGCCTCTCACCGATTAGGGATCCTCCATCTCTAACATTTACAATTCCCCTTGCAAGAACAGATTTATAAAATGACCGTTAAGCTATGAAGAGCCCCATCATGGAAACAGTTAATCTCAGGAACTAGCATTTCCCTTCTTTCCCCCAGTGCAGACAGGCACGACTCCATGGGCTCAATAAAAAAGAAACCTCCTCCCATAGAGCTGCCCCTTCCCACTGCAAACCCTGGCACAGCGGAGAATCTTTGCAGTTGCGGGGGCTGATCCCAATATTTTCCACCTCCCCGTGCCTCACTCTCAAAACTGCAGCTTGTCCTACTGTGAGTTTCATAGAGGCAGCTTATACTGAAGATCACACACACATACACCCAAAGGTTTGCATTTTCTCAGCACTGAAAGATTGAAAGTTGGCCCCAGAGGGATCTCTGCAGCTTGCTGGGAGTTGAGCCTAAGGGAGGGGGGTATTTTGATATAATTGGAGGAAAAGTATTTTAAAATCCCCACTTTAAAAACAAACCCTACAACATTAGCTCAACTTCCGCTAAATCCTCTAAAATAGATCCATAATGTGCTAAAGACTAAGCTGCCAAAAAAAAAATCAGAACAAAATCCATCAGCTGGAAGTCCCCTATTTATTATAAACATGGAACAAGCCATCAAGAAGTGCATATGAAAAGAAAGCACAGTCTGCAATCACAAGATCTAGGATATTTATCCAGTTCGTTACAGTGACACAGGCTCCAGTAAAGAGAAGAATGCAGAACAGAGAGAGACATGCGCACACACAGTCTATAAATACCACCAAGGTAACAGCCTAAAGGAAAGAAGGGAATTATTCAGATTCTCCGAAGAGAGCAGAACAAGCAATAATGGATGAAGTGAAGGAAGGAGAACTTTCGCTAGACATTAGGAATATATTAAAATTCAGAGCAATTGGGCAGCCTGACAGACTCTTCAAGGACATGGAGGTACCGTGATGGAAGCCAGTGAAATACAGAATAGAAGTGGCCACATGGAATAATTATATCGTCTGTTATTCCTGGGAAGCCCACCTTGATTTGCGAGAGGTACCATGAGCACCGCCAGAGGCAGAATTTGGCACAATGCAACCAATGAAGATGTACAAAATTCCAGGGGGCTCAGAGCAAGTGGAGCAAGAGACCTGATCTTGCCTGGTCCAAATCCTGGATGCTAGGATTTAGTGTCACACCCTCGGCTTCTATTATGGATAGTTGCTTTAGGAGTTGGGTACCTATTAGGGCTGGTCAATACTTTTCCATGAAAACTTTTTCTCAGATGCAAAAATGGGGTTTTTGACATATTAATTTTTTTCAGGTAAAATGTCCACTGTCCTCAAAAAGTTTCTTTATTAGAAGAAAAGTTTTTTGGGAAATGTTTTCAGTTGCTGAAAATATTTTGACTTGATTTTCGGGGTGTTTTTTTGAACAGACTAAGTTCTTCAGTAGGGACAATCTGACATACCAACCACCCCCACCTTTTCCCAATCAGCTGTAGTGCATCAATGAAGGAGAGAAGAAACACACACACACATAGTTAGTAGTGACTTCACATATAAGGGTTCCCTGTACTTTCTACTTAAAGATAAAAGTCTCTCCCCCCCTCTTTTTTTACATATTAATAAGAGTGAGTGTGTGTGCTACATCTGGTGATTTAATTCAGAAGGCAGCTTAATTGTCTCTTGAAATTATTTTCAGAAAACATAAAATTTACCCTTATCTTAAAAAAACAACCAACTTTGCCTCCTTTCCCAGTCCCTGTGCCTTGGAGATTCCGTTCTCTGCAAACTCCACTCAGTCCACTGTTAAAAACTTGTTACAAAGAGAATCATAGAATCATAGAACACTAGAACTGGAAGGGACTTCGAGAGGTCGTCAAGTCCAGTCCCTGCCCTCCCAGCAGAACCAAGCACCATCTATCATGGGTTCCCAAACTGGAGGACGTGCCCCCCTGGGGGGCGTGAACAAAGTCCAGGGGGGGCTCAAGGAGACCAGCTCCCCCCCCACCCAATCAAGTTTTGCTACCCCGGACAGTTCCCCCCCCCTTTTTTTTTTTGCTATTTTTTGGGGGGGGTTAGGGTTTTTCAAAAATCAAAAAGGAGGTGTGATGCCAAAAAGTTTGGGAACCACTGATCTTGATCACCTCTGACAGGTGTCTATGCAAACTGCTCTTAGCTAAGGACTCCCCTTCCCCCACCCCCAAGGCCTCAAAAAGGATGAATGTGAAGTGCCTTTGAATTCTTTGTCCCCTTCCTTCCCTTTCACACCATGATTCCCCCAGGGCCATTTTTAGGGAGCCAACTTGGCACTCTGAAAGAGCCTTGTTTGGAGGTGTCAAAACAGCTTCCAATGACCCTTTCCCCTTTTCCTAAGCACTGATCCATGGGGAAAACACTGAGCATTCTCGGGGAAGCTCCTCTTATTCAGGGCAACTAA